CACTGATCTGCCCCCAGCTCTGCACACAGACATTGCTGCTGCAGCTCCAGAGAAGGCAACAAAAGGGCATCTCTGCAGAAAACTCTGCTGGGACATCCTTTAGTTCCTTTAAAGCCACCAAGTGCGCAGCCCCTCTTTCACACAGTCTGTGGCCACAGGGAAGCGGAGAGAAACAAAATGAGAAATGGCACAAGGAATGACATTTCTTTGTGGACAATATGAAAAAACTAAAACAAACTAAAATAATCTCCAAAATGAAACCAACAAGAAGTATAAAAAACTAGTTTTATTACAAGTGTTTTGCAGAAATTGCGCAGCAGTTTAATGTTCCTGAAAGCATCCAGTCATCAGTCTCCTCACTGCAGCCTTGAGCTCCTGGTTCCTCAGGCTGTAGATGAGGGGGTTCAGTGCTGGAGTAACCACTGAGTACAGCACTGACAGTGCCAGATCCAGGGATGGGGAGGACAGGGAAAGAGGCTTCAGGTTTGCAAACACTGCAGTGCTGATGAACAGGGAGACCACAGCCAGGTGAGGGAGGCAGGTGGAAAAGGCTTTGTGCTGTCCCTGCTCAGAGGGGACCCTCAGCACAACCCTGAAGATCTGCACATTGGAGAAAACAATGAACACAAAACAACCAAACACCAAACAGACACTAACTGCAATGAGCTCAAGTTCCCTGTGGTAGGATTTGGCGCAGGAGAGCTTCAGGATCTGGGGGATTTCACAGAAGACCTGGCCCAGGACATTGCCTTGGCACAGGGGCAGAGAAAAGGTACTGGCCATGTGTAGCAGTGAACAGAGAAAGGCACTGGCCCAGGCAGCTGCTGCCATGTGGGCACAAGCTCTGCTGCCCAGGAGGGTCCCGTAGTGCAGGGGTTTGCAGATGGACACGTAGCGGTCGTAGCACATGATGGTCAGGAGGTAAAACTCTGCTGAGATGAAGAAAACAAAAAAAAAGAGCTGNACTGAGAAAGTGTCCCCAGGCCCCAGGCAGAGCAAAGAACTGCAGGCAGTGATGACAAGTGGGGACAAAGAGAAGCCAAGTCTTGGTGTCCTGGGACACAGCAGGGTCGGTGCCACCAAGGGCTGTGAGGAGACACCTTGTCCTGAGGCACTGGGGCCTCCTGGCACTGCCCCAGCCAGGCTGGGCACTGTCAGCCCCTTGTCCTGCCCTCAGCATCCCCCCCTAGCCCACATCCCAGTGGCATCAAGGATCTGCTGGAAGGAGTCCCTGGGGAGCCTTGCTCAGGAATGGCCCTGGGGGGGCTCCATAATACTCCCAGGGACTGCAGGTTTTTCAAAAGACTTTGGGTTTGGCTTCTGCCTTGGAGTCTCTGAGAGGTCTGTGCAATAATGGCTTCCAATTATCTGTATTAATTAGTCCCTGGAGAGGCTTTGTCAGTAACAACACTCAGTGGGGCTCATTAATGCTTCAAGGAACTTCAGTTATTTTAAGGTACTTGGGGTTTCCCTTTTGATAGAGACTCTGTGAGATGTTTGTGCAATCATGGCCCCAATTATCTGCTATAATGAGTCCCTGGAGAGCTTTGTACTGAAACTCAGTGGGGCTCATTAATGTTTTGAGATACTCAAGGTTTTTAAAGGTATTTTAAGGATTTAAGGATACTTTTTAGATACTTCTAAGGATTTTCCTTTCCTCGCTGAGTCTCTGAGATGTTTTTGTGCCATCCTGGTCTCCAAATCTCTCCTCCAAAGAGTCCATGAGAAGCGTGTGATGGGGATGGACCTCAGTGGGACCCATTCATGCTCTGAGACACTTTGGAATTTCTTCTGACTTTACCTCCTGGCAAGGTTTGTGCAATATCCTCTCAGGCCATGAGGTTCTAGTGCTCAGGTGAAAATGCACCATGGGACTCATTAGGATCAAGCAATTCCTGACAAACCATGGCTCTGCTTTGATTTTCCTATGCTCTCATGCAGTTCATCAGGAAGGTTTCCTTTTATGTTTGGTTCTCCCATTTGAGATTTCTTGGCGAATGCATCAATTAGTGTGGTGTGTTCAGTGTTGGCTGATTACCAATGCACTCACTAGAATATACTTACTCATTTCCTGCTGTGAGATAAGATTAGGAGAACGGCAAAGCAGGCTCAAAACTTTAAAAGGGTATAAAGAAAAGTTTATTAATAGCAACTAAAAGAAAGAGTAATTAAGACCAAAACTTTCAGAGCACTTATCCTCTCCCTACAACCTTTTCTTTCTTATTGACAATATAAGGAGACATGTCCTGGGTTGACTATATGATGCTTTTATCTCCAATCGTCTCATTCTGTTTATGTTGCATAATAATAAGTTTTGTACTTTTAAGAGTGTTCCAGAGAGTGAAGGGGGGGAGAGAAGAAGCGCACAGTTTGTTTTCAGACACTGCACTCACTCCTCCACATTCCTGCTCCTGGACTGTTGACTGCGGACAGACAGCGGGACAGAGCTCTTCTTTTGCTTTTTAGTTAGTGTTAGCTAGCTGAGGCAAAGAAGTTCCCTGGACTGTGTATTTTCTTTTCTTTGGACCTCTTGGNTTGGCAAACCCAACAGCATTTCCTCAGCTGTGGCAGCTCTGCCCTTCCCCGTGGGACATTCAGGGAACTCCCAGAGGCTCTGGCACAGATTTGCACCCAGGAGGGCAGCTCAGAGCTTGGAAGAGCACAGCAAGGAGATCCCCGGCTGTGCCCATGATGGGATCTCAGGGAGGGGGCTCAGCTCATTCCCCTTTCCCATGGACTGCTTTGCTCACAGCCCCACAGGTGCCAGGGAAGCTTGGACACCCCATTCCCATGGAAACACCCCTGCCTGGCAGGAATGCCAAGGGTAGTGCCTGACTCAGCTGCTGCAAATGCCAGAGCCTCCCTGAGAGCAGCAGATAACAGTGACAATATCAGGGCCGGGCAGAACCAAGAGAAGATGTTGTGGTGCTGTGCCTGGGAGGGCAGGGCACAGACAGCTGGGCACTCAGGACAGTGTTCCCGTGCCCAGCTGTGCCCAGCACCTCCCACACACCAATAGTGCCCCCCTGCCCCCAGCACTGCTCCCTTCAGCCCCATCTCCTTCCATGAGCATCTCCCTGGGCCTGGACATTCCCTCCTGAGAGGAGCCTTGTCCCTGCCAGCGCTCACAGAGCCCATCCCAGCCTGTGTGCCTTGGCCGGGGCCCTACAGAAACCTGCCTGTGTGCAGGGCCCTGGCTGGGGCAGGCTCTGTGTGCAGCTGGGCAAGGGCAGCTCAGGAGAGCCCTGCTGGGCCCTGCAAAGGTGATGCTGCTGGTGTCCAGGGCTGAGGAGTGGCTGAAGCCCTTTGGGAGGCTCCCAGCAGAGAGACTGGCCACCCAAAATTACAGTTCTGGAGTCTCTGTAAATGTTCAAACATTCCTTTGATGATCCTGTGTGTCCCTTTCAACTCAGAATGTCCTGGGATTCTGGGATTACAATTCCTGTTCTTCTTCTCTTATCCCCTTGTTTTTTATAATCAAAAGAGAAAAAAAACCCCTTGCAACAGTGTTAGAAGAGTAAAGTAAAAACCAGACATTTATTGGATGCTTCCAGGTGTCCCACTGGGGATGGGGCACACCTGGGCCCTTATTTACACAATTATTAAGGTTGATTAATAAAGAAAATTTAACAGGAACATCCAGTAGGAGATTCACTTACCCCAGTTACACACCCCTGGCTCAATCCATTGGAGTAAGTCCAAGGCTTCTTTGCCTTCAATTTTTGTTATGACTGCTCACATTCTGGTCAAAAAACACAATGTTCTTGTTGGTCCTGTTCCTGATAATAAGACTTTACAGGATACTATATGTATTGCATACTATATGTATTTCAGGAATGCATTTAGACAATCAGCTTATTTTTCTAAAATCAAAGAAAAAACTTAGGGAAAATAATAGAGTTAATACAGGATTATAGTTATAGAAGTTATATAATAGTAATAGAGTTCATTAAGAGTTTAATAGACTTAAATAAGGATTATAGATTTATAACTATGTAATAGTAATTTATAGAGCGACAAATATATGAAAAATGTATAAAATGAAAAAATCTTTTTGTCATCACCCCAACGTTCCCATCCTTCTCCAAGCAGGAAATTGAAAACATTCTCAGAAAAGCTCCTGATCTTTACATCAATCCCAGGCTTACCTTCTTTGGGAAGTACTCTCTGGAGATGTACCCAGGCTGGTCTGGAGCTGGGAGCAGCCCTGTCCCACCAGCCCCCCTCAGCAGCATCCCCTGCCCTGCTCAGGGTGGCTCCTTCCCCCCAGAGCTTCTCCCCAGTGCTGGGAGCAGCTCCCCGGGCCGGCTGAGAGCTGTCCCTGGCAGGCAGCAGAGTCCCTGCCCCAGCACAGCACCCTGGGCTGCAGGACCCTGCTCTGCAGGACAGCCCTGGGCAC